GAGGGCAGTGTCACTGGCCCTCATATGTGGGATCCGAACTGGGGCCCTCTGGCGTCCCAAGCCAGCTCTTAACCAACACGCCACTCGGCCGGCCCAAGACTTTTCTTTTAAACTGTTGTCAACATTTTAAATTTATACACTGGCTTTCAGTGTGAATCTCTGTCATAACACAGGTCTACTACAGGTTTGAATTTTATTCAAATATGAACATATTTTATATTATGGAATACATTATTTCACAATAAGTTATACAGTGAAATAAGTGATATGAATATACAATATATCTGGGGATTCTTTATTCCCACCCTATCCATCATCCCTTTCTCTCAACCTATTTCATAAATAAGTTACGATGAAATTCTGAAAACTCCACATAAGAAATATGTTACTCCCACCCCTATTCATTATTCCCACTATGATTGCCTTAATTCATGCTTTTGAGTCCTTTCCATTGAGCCTCTGAACATTCCTACTAGTCTTCCTGATAAAAGCCTCTTCCTACTCTAGTCCATCTTCTATACAGTTGCCAGGTTATGTTCCTAAAAACTGAACGTGAAACTTACAGTCTAGTGGAAGAGATTGAAAAAAAAAATGTGATAGTGAGGTATAAAGAAAATAAAAACAGGGTCAGAGGAAAGAGTGAAAGTTTTATTGAGATATAATTGACATGCAGCACTGCATAAGTTCAAGGTGTACAGCATGAGAAGGGAGTAATAAGATAGGGCGGTGACATTTAATTGTAACAAATGTTAACAAATGCCAAAGACCAGCAGGAACACACCCATAGTCAAACCAAGCTGGGTTTACTTACTTATCAGAAAGAGGCAGATAGTATACCCTGAGGAGGCATCTCAGAAAGAAGGCATAAAAGACTTGTTACAGGACTGGGCTTGTGTTAAGTGATTTGGGTAAGGTTTAAGGCTTTGCTCTGCATTGGGTGCCACCAGGAAGCAGAGATAATTTTATGATTGGATAATTCATTGTTAGCTAGAAGGAAGAAAGAAGCAAGGCTCTAGTTACAACTGGTCAAGATGCAGACATCACTTATATTAGCCAGAACGTTTGGTCATTTTGGTGGTTTGGAGAATGTTCTTGTATTTGCCACTCTTAGACATGATTACCAAGGGGTCTTGTTTTTGTCTTGTCTATTATGGTCAGAGTGGCCATGTGTGATGTTTTGTGAAATTATTGATGTTCAACAGAGCACGCAGATCTAGCTGACGATGCCAGTGACGCCAAGGCCTAGCTAACAGTTCCAGGCCAGCTCCTGTTGTTCAGGCTCATCCCCCCCGCCCCCCCCCCCAACAAAGTCATCAAATGCTATAATTATCTCTAAATGGCAATTTATAACCCTTACTCAGAAGGGTAATGAGTTCTAATACTCATTGCAGCTCTGGTGATGATAGCAGTAGCTTACTTAATTACTAAAAATACAAGAAAGACCCTCTGTTACATGCTGTGGTAAAGAGAAAAACAGCCACTTACTCGTGGCTTGAAAGGCTCTGGATTGGAAGTAATAACTAGTGCTGTGAATTTTGGAAACCACTTCAAAAGTCTCAGTCACTTGCTTCATGTCTGAAACAAGAAGTAGATTATATGTGTAGTTCTCATAGATTTGCATACTGTCGGGCTGTCTGTGCAGTAATCACATGCAGAGCTTGAGCAAATCAGGTAGAGATTCTAGGGCCCCCTCTCTGGAGTCTGATTCAGCATGTTTTTGAGATTCAGCCATGTTGCTTTTCTCTACCCACCTCCCACCCCCCTTTTTTTTAAATTGCTGAGTATTATGCTGTTCAGTGATTATACCAGTTTATTCATCCATTCTCTACTGATGGACATCTGGGCTGTTTATAGATTTTTGTGATAATCAATAAAGGTGCTATAAACATTTTTGTGCATATATGCTTTTATTTTTCTTGGATAAATACCTGTAAGTGCTAGGTCATAGTGTTTAACTTATATGAAACTAATGGGTCCACAACAGTAAAGCTTAGAACACTTTCTCCTTTTGCTCAAAGTGTAGTTTTATAAAGACGGCAAAGGGTCTGTTAAAAGGCCTCAGGCAATCCCGGTCACTCCTACCCTCCTGTCTTCACGAATGGAGCTCTGGGGCCCTGTAGGATCCCTCTACAGGCAGAGGGATGAATGAAAGCTGTGTGGATAATATCTGTAGGTAAATGTAGTTTATGCAGTGTACATGACAGTGGGTAACTGGTATGTAAAACCCTTTGATAAATCTTTGCCTCTAGGTTTCTTGGAATTCCATCTCACTGTGATCAGACTCAGAAAGGGAAATCCCTGAAGGTTGGCAGAACTAAAATAAAAGTCATTTTTGACAAAGAGACCATTATTAGCAAAGGTTTGATGGTATGTTTGGGAGAAGGCTGGGTGAGGCTGGGCCACTGTGGTGGGAAAGCCACCCAGGCTCAAATAATGGTCTCTAAGCTGATGAGCCTTGAATCTTGCACTATTGCTTCTTCAGTCAGTTCTCCCAAGTTATCCTTAGTAGCTTTTTATTTATTTATTTATTTATTTATTTATTTAGCTGAGCCCTCCTGCCACCTGTTGGCAGTTCAGCAGCAGGCAGCTCAACTCGGGCTGTGAATCAAACCGGCAACCCTATTGCTCAGAGCTCACACTCTTGAGCGAGCTCTTAACCAACTGAGCCACTCAGCTGCCTCTTAGTATCTTTTTAAAACACCTGCCACGGCCCGACTGAGTGGCAAGTTGGTTGGGAGTTGGCTTGGGACACCAGCTCTGAACAGTAGGGCTCTGGTTCGGATCCCACATATGAGGGCCAGCGACGCTGCGCCCTCTACAGCTAAGGTGGTGAACAACAGCTCAACCTGGAGTGAGTCACCGGCAACAGTGTAGGTTGCAATGGGGCTGGCTGGCAGTGGGGCTGGCCGGCAGTGGGCGTGAGCTGACATGAGCCACCGCCCAATGGCAAGTGAGCGACTTCCTCACACAGGAAGAGCACAAAGATAATACCAACATGGGCCAGTGAAGCGACGTCCTCCACAACTAGACTGAAGAACCAAAGGACAGCAACTTGTCTGTTCCCCTTCCCTGATTCCCCAACGCTGTTCCCCTCCCCCAATTCCCTAATAAAATCTTAAACAAACAAACAAAAATACCTGCCGCTTTCCTTCCACCCTTCAGCAGGTAACCAGGCTCTACTTGAAGGAAAAGAGAGACCATTTGAAAGGCACGCTTTCACTTTCTTGCCAGAAACATCCACCTATCTGTATCCATTCTTTATCAGTCCTTTCCTTATTCCTTCCTATCAAAGACGGTATCCCTCCTAAGGTACTTGGCATTCCATCTTGTCAAGGGCCTTGTATTATCTCTTCACATCTCCTTATCTCATTCTTTATACTGGCTCATTTCCCATCCCTAAGCCTCTTCCAATTTCTCCCTTGTGAAAGCTAACCTCTCAACACCAGGTACCGCTCTAGTTAGTGCCCTCTCTCTCTCTCTCTCTCTCTCTCTCTCTCTCTCTGGTATCATTATAGTCAAACCTTTTAAAGGGTTGTCTGCAAAACCCATTTCCTTTTTCTTATCTGAGTCTCCAAGGTCTGCCTAGAACCATTTTATCATATAGTAGGCACGCACAATCCTTTTTAAAGCATATGATGGGAATTCCAAGGGTGCAGACGATAAAGTCATTTATAGCTTATAGCCTGGGAAGTTGGATGAGAAACTATGTATCTTTCTGGTGTGAATGGATAATTTGATATATACTTTCATTGTGAAATAAAGTTATGGCTTAGTCAGTAGTCTGCCACAAGTAACAAAGTATAAAAACAAGTTGAGAAACACAGCAGTGTTGCACTACCCATGAACCCCTCACGTGAGAACACCGGTGCTCACCGAACTCAAAGACCACGCATCTACCGCTCCACCGCGGAGGCAGCCTGGGACCCAGGTTGGCCTTGCGGCCGAACCCTGTTTACGGCTCGTAAGTGGCCTCCGAGTCGGGGTG